ACATATACTATTTTATCTGCAAACGATACAGATGGAACGAAAAGAGCAACACACCAATAATCAAGTAAATCACCTCAATAATCAGGACGCTTTGCAATAAAATCATAACAAACGTCACGCGTCAGTTTCGGAATTTGTGTTGAGATTTCGAAAGTGTTCACTGATTTAACTGGTGAATAACTGGTGTAGTTTATAGTGCAAAATGTCGAATGCTGATAATATACCTTGTACCTCTCCAGAAAATGCTGAAAAAGCGAAAGGAACAAGAAAGAGACAACAGTGGTAAATGTCAAAGTAAGTGTCAAGTAAAAGTGAAAACGCCTAGGCGTAAAAACAGTGTTTTTACTCCATGTCTGAAAAGTAAAACTTTTACCTGTGTCATTTAGTTATAAAAGTGGTCACTTTTGTGACGTTTGCAGATAAAAATAATTTTCCCCGTTTATTTGTTGCAGACTATTAGAAGAAGAAACAAGGAAGCTGTATCCTACATTTTAACTCTGTTTAATGTTATTTGTCAAAATTTTTGTACTTATACTAAACAATTGTAAAAAAACATATACAAAATCATCAGTATCATTAGACATAAAAAATGTCAAATGTCAAAAAATAAATATCAAAATATTTTGACAGATAGAACTTTTTCAACATTTTTTCCATGTTCCTAGAATCTTATCTAACATGAAATTTTTCTCTGAGACGCGAGTTCTAACGTCTTAAGTGTTTTAAAGGCGCTTATAAACGAGTATTATACGCTATTTTTTATTATACCTGCCCATTTACGATCTTTTATGAGCATTGAAAAAATGTGAATTTACACAATAAAATTATCAAAGGTTCTTTGTGAATCGTTTTCGTAGAGACGGTTACTAGTTTACGTTGTTAAGCACATTTTTTTCACGTTGTAATTGGTCCAGACATTTCACTATTTCTTGTCACCTAGACAACTTTAAAATTCAGCGTGTTATAAAAGCCAAATTACGCACGCTGCAGCGTGTTTTAATTTAGGATTATGATGCAGGTACAGTTAGAGACAAAATACTTTGGTCTCCACTTTTTTGACACTTTAATGTAATTCAAGTTTTAACGTTAAAATGAATGACAATTTCAAATTAATGACCGCTATTTTATTTTTCTATCAAAAATATGTACATACAACTTGTCAACTATGATATACTCAAGTGATATTGACGACCAAAGTATTTTATCTCCAACTGTATAATAAAAAATTCAATTTATTATTATATTTGACAGTTAAAATTTTTGACATTTGACGAATACGATACGCAAATTGCTCGAAAATAGCTTAACTTGCATTAGTTTCGATGAAATACATTGGTCTTCAACAATTTCTCACAGTGTGCACAGTTAGTGATGATAAAAATGTAGCTAAAATGTTTCGAAAAACAGTGTCACAAAAAGCATTTTGTGTAACTGAAAATAGTCGCACAAAATGCCCATTGTGACACCGAAACAGAAAAAAAACTTATGTTTTTTTATGCGCTTTCTCGTACTTATGCTTTATTCACTTATTTGTTCTTATACTCTTTCTCTTTCTTATTATGCCTTGCGTTCTTATATATGCTCTTATGCTCTCTCTCTCTTTTATTATACTTATTATATAGAACAATGTGCACATGTTTTGAACTTTGCGTTCTTATTGCTAATTTTAATTAGTACTTGAATTTGAATTAGTGAAAAATTGCTGATCTTGCGGAATCTTATGCCGCTGACAGCCTCAATGTTTTAATTCAATATATTCAACAGGAACAGACTTTTACAGATTTTTTTAAAAATTATTTCTTTAATTTTACAACGTTTTTGTACTTTTCTAAGTCTCTTAAACCCTTAAGAGTGCAAATAACTTAGTTTTAAAGTTTTTAATTTTTTCGATTTTTGTCAACATTTTGAGCGATTTTCGGTACCCGGAACGGCTTATAATAACTTTGGAATTATTGACGTTAGTCCTTTTTCCAAATTTAATTTTTTATCATATAAAAAAGATAATTGTCTTACATTAAAAGTTGTCGAGAAAATTGCTAATAAATTCAAAAAACTCAAAATATTAATTCAACTATAACTTGTAAACGATCAAGAATTTTGCAATTTTCTCGAAGACAATCGATTTCTCGGAACATCTTACATATACAGGGTGAATCATAAACAGAGTGCGCCAGAACTCGCGCCCCAGAGAAAAATGTCAATTGCCGGCGGCAATGGGTCGCCAAAAAGTGCAGCCGAAGAAGTAACTTTTGCTTGCATAAGAAAGTTGAGAGACTCTTAATTCCACCAATCCCAGAAGGGTACCTCAGGGTGTGATTGGAAAATTATATCCATTGCTAGGTTACAAACATAATACCAATTTGCCTAAAAGTTTCAAAAAATAGCTGGATTACTGTAATTGTCTGTCATGTTTTTGACATAACATCCTATTTTCGAATATTTTTCTCGCTGAAGATGCTGTGCACAAGTATAATGAGACGAAATCGTTGAAAATTTTTGAAAACTCGATTTCCATTGCGATGAACCAACAACTATTTTAATACTTTTAGATGTTTTCTTCAGAAGCATTGTTCCTACTTAACTTTTTCTTCGATATGAACAACACAGACAACAAGCCGAAAACTAATGCTAGAAGCGAGTTAGATTAACCAAAAAGACAAAAACGTACGCCAGTTTCTTCACTTTATTGCAAAACTAACAGAAAAATGTACTTTTTATAAAAATATGTGGTTAGGATAATTTTTACTGTCATAATTGTAGGTTTGCCAAGGTATTTTTGTTCGGTAGTGTAATTATAACCTAAAAACACACATTGCACTTATAAGACCCCTTGCTTCCTTTATCATTAAACAATCCACAAGAGTATTGCAATATTGATATTGAAATTATTTGATATTCCTCAACAGTCCAGAAATTTACTGAAAATCATTGCTGAAATGCTCCCGAAAAAAAGCATTTGGAATATTCTGTCAGTCCACAAATTTACTGGAAATGATTGCTGAAATGCCCCCGGAAACAAAGCATTTGAAATTTCCTCTAATACAAGTAGGTATGTCAGTTATAATGACTACAACTTCTCTGATACATCTACTTAGTGCCATCTTAAAAAATCAAGGAAAGCTTCTTCATTTTCAAGTATGCGCGCCGTTCTGGGAACATCTCTAATTTCTTTTCGGTCTGGTAGGACTTGACTGCTCTTGCACCCTGGCAATGGCCCTCAATGTGACCTTATAGCATGGGCGATTTCTGTCACAAAAACGTTTGAAAAATATCCTAGCTGCCTCCCTCGTGTTACGCCAACACTTTCCAAAAATGGTTATTATCTCCAAATAATCAGTGGCTAATTACATGCTTGAAACTTATTAACTTAAACCACACAATTGACATCTAACACAAATTCAAACCATTACACTCGTGTACAACCTCTTTGGGGAGAAAAATATTCGAAAATAGCGTGTTATGTCAACACATGACAGATGTTACAGTAGACCAACTATTTATTGAAGATTCTAGGCAAATTGGTATTATTATTGTAACCCAGCAACAGATATAATTTTTCAATCCCACCCTGAGGTGCCTTTCTGGGATTGGCGGAATTAAGGGTCTAACAACTTTCTTATGCAAACAACAGTTACTTCTTCGGCTGCACTTTGTGGCGACCCATTGCCGGCAGCACTGGACATTTTTCTCTGGGGCGCGAGTTCTGGCGCAGCCTGTATAATAAAGACCCTAACCGATTTTCAAACGCAACCCAAAATACATTCTCAGATACCACTATGCGTTAATTAATGTTCTGTTTGAAATTTTTCAAAGAAACATAGATTACCTGTGATAGCTTTGACAATTTTTAGAACTTAGAATCCTACGGTGTACCTTTGACGCTACAGACTCAGCCACATGATTTTGTGGCATTCCCCATTTGTCAAGATAATGTCAGTTTCTTCGTCATTTGAGTACATTTTGAATTCAAGGGAAAAAGAAAGTAGAATTTTTGACACTGTCAAATTTAATTAATGATATATTAACAATTACTTTGATTTGAATTTAATAAACTAAATTTTTCAAACGCACAAAAAGCAAAGTTGACTGAGAATGTATTTTGGGTTTAATCCTAAAAATTCCTTTCTCGTTGCGCCACTGCCAGTATCGCCCAACAGCATGTTTTCCTGTTTCTAGGAGAGGTAAAGAGCGATAAAATTTTTACTGTCTTAGAAGACTACTATAAGGGCCCCTATAGGACACAGTCACTTTTAAGTTAAAACACCCCGATTTTCCAGGTAGTTAAAAAAGTAAAAAATATCAAGCAAAATAACCCGGTTTTTAAGGTAATCTAAAAAAAGTAAAAATATTAAGCAAAATAGCCCGGTTTTCAAGGTAATCTAAAAAAAGCACAAAAACACCCCGATTTTCAAGGATAAATAGAAAACACCCCCGATTTTCAAGGGTAAACTGAAAAGCAGTGGGCTCCTTCAGCACACAGCACTTTTTAAGGTAAAACACCCTGATTTTCAAGGTAGTTAAAAAAGTTAAAATTCGCTATGCTCATGAGGACTTCGTCCGAATTTCAAGGAAAACCCCCGCGATTTTCAAGGTAGATAAAAAAGCAAAAGCCAGTTCAAAACACAGCACTTTTTAAGGTAAATCACCCCGATTTTCAAGGGTTAACAGAAAGGCAAAAAAATCGTTAAAATATCCCGATTTTCAAGGGTAAGCAGAAAAGCAAAAAAATCGTGAACACCCCCGTTTTAAAGGTATATTTTAAAATTAACATTTTTAAGGAAAACACCCTGTAAAATTGATGTGAAAACTATTTTTTAACGAATAGGATTAGCATACAGAAATATGTTAAAATAGATGAAGAAGGTAAATTTTACTATTAAGGCCCCTTATTCAGAACACTGTTTTTGAGGTATATTTTAAAAATAATATTTTTCAAAGATTTTGCCCAAATTTAATATTAAAGTGTTTTTAATATATATTATAAATAAATATTTTTGTAATGAATGAAAAATGGAATAAATATAATGAAATAAAAAAAAAATATTACAAAGTTGACAAATCCTGGTACACTTTGTTATTGATGTTACTCAACCACTATAGGATTGCTGCAAAAAAAAATTTGTTAGGGAGGTACAAAAAAAGTGGCATAGAGACTATTTTTTAGATACGTGTTTTCTTACCTATACTCCATAAAAAATCTTAGTGCCGTTTCAAACTGCGCCCGTTGTGCACTGTTGTCAAAAATTAACCATTGACTCAACTTGCCGACCTCTTCATAGAAATTTATTTCAATTTCATCATGTTCACTCCGATACGTTTCAATTTCTTCCTTGTATATGGTCGCGCGATATAGATGTAATCCATTTAGCTGATTATCATTTCTTTCTCTAATAGTTATAGTTTGGGTTTCAGGAACGAAAAATATTTGAACCCGAATTAGGGATGCACCTTCTGAGACTTGAACTCTTGCAGAATGCGCCATTTTTATATTTTCAATAATCTTATGCTTCTTAATCTGTTTGCGATGTGTTTGCAACTGGCGAAAATCTTCCATTTGCTGTTTTAAATCCATCATATCTAAAATAAAATTCTAAATATTGTTTTTCATCATTGTTTTTACACGTACCAGGGTCGCAATTCTGCAAAAAAAACACTAACAGAAAAACATAGACACAAGCCTGACAGGACAGGACAGGACACAGGCGCAAGCGTTGCTCCTTGGTCACTTTGGTCGTTTTTCGAATACTGCTTGCTGCGCAAACACATTGTTTTCCAGCTGCATGTATAAATGGTTGCATAAATGACAAGTCAGTCCAGAGACGGTGTTAAACCAAATTTATTTAACACAGTGTTGCCATTAACATATAATAAATTATTCATTATTAATTAACAACGAAAAATATTAATATCCAAACGGAATTGTATCAAAGTTTTCTAGAATAACTCTCTTGTCATAAACAAAACCAAATTCCTTTGTTTCTATTTTATTTAAAAGTTCCTTAATTTTAGTATCTCTGTTAATTCGATTATATTGTGTAGTGATTTTACTATCTTTCTTTTCTAAAATATTATTTATACTATCGGAATTAATTTTTTTGGAAGTTTCATAATTTAACGTAAATCCTTTTATTTTACAAACAACTTTACCTGTGTTGGTTTTATAACAATAACTTTTTGGACCTGTTGATATCCAGCCTATTATCCATACGCCTTTACCTAATTCGTCTGTCCAATCTCCCAATAGACAGCCTGTTTTAACAGTGTTTTTTCCATCATCTATATATACAACGCTATCAGTATCATAATATACAACCGCCTCTCCCAATTTATCTAACATTTCATATAATCTTAATCTGGCGTTTGCTGTTGTAAAAGCTGCTATGAATATATTGGTATTAAAATCATTTTCGACATAATGATCTTTATATTTATAGCTAATTTGTAACATTGTATCGTTTATATCATTTATCTGAATTTTATCAAGTCTATCATCTAATAAAATTTCGTAAAATCTCTTAGCATCTGTAACATATTCTGTTGCACCCATATTTTGTCTTTGTCCAAATTTACCCCATAAGAAATTTAAGCATATTTTCGCAACAGCTCTCTTTCCAGGATTATTTTCTATTTTACCCAATTCGATACCTATAAGTTCTTTTGCGGATTTTCTATATTCTTCTTCTGATTCAAAATCATCCTGCCAAGGCCTTGTTTCTAATTTAATTTTCATAAACGCTTTCACATATCCTTTAAATAAGTCTGATGATTCCTTGTAAAAATGCCAAACCTCGTCAATAGTTATTATTTTGTAACCCTTTTCAATTGCTTTTTTTACTTCGTTGGTACACCAGGTTCCTCTGATAATTCTTTGAGATTCCGTATGAGAACATTTATCTTTTTGATTATTTAATTTTGCGCACAGTTGACATAATGGAAACGTTAGTTTTTCATCACCAGATTTGGTTTTATTCCTAACAGGTAAAACGGGGTGATACAAACCTTTTGGTGGTAAAATTGCACATTTTATTAAACCATACCAATCTGACTCATACGTACGAGGTTTGAATATTTTAGTAGGATGTCCAACTGGATAATCATCGTAACATTGTACTGTTGGATATAAACTGCAAATATCTATATATCTCAATTTCTTTCTCTTAACGCGCAATTTTGTTGCATTCGTTCTTCCACCAAAGAATGCGTTTCTAGGATTAAGTTCTTCCAATTCTTTAATTTCTCCTTACCTTCAATTTGTTTCATTTCTTTCTTATATTCTTTTGACTTTGTCCACTCACATTCCCACATTTCTATTAAGTTATAACCAGCTTTTTTTATTTGCTCGCTTCTTTCCATTGTTTTCTCATAAAGATCTTCCATAGTTGTTTTATTCTTATTATTAATAAAATCTGAACTAAAACATTTAGTACAACCATGCCAAAAACACCCGTGATATTGGTAAACAGTATTGGATTTTTCGTCAAATCCGTCAACTTTTGATCCACATATTTTCACTTCACCGTCGTTTAATGCGTGTTTTATATTTGGATTATGAAAGCTATTTAACCAAGAAATTGCTTGTTGATAATATTGATCTTTTTTCAGATTATCAACAACAGCTATTGTATCTTTCTTAATATATTTTGATCTATACATAGCCATACAAACCCCTGCAATTGTAACATATCTAAATGGATCTATGTTAGCTATTTCTAGAAACTGTTTCCTTAATTCAAGACATCCATTTCTTAATATGTCAACATCAGAATTACAATATTCGTAAAGTTCTTTTTTCAAATCAAACACGTAGTTCTCTTTTCTTTTTTGTATATGCCATTCTAAAAAGTAATTGCGGCAACCATCATCTCTGCATACCTTAGAGTTCGTTGGCTTACTGTTACCATAACATTTTTTACATTCTGTCATACAATTAACACCATAGTATTTTGTATCAGGTACTTTTCCAATATAGTTCTGATTTTCCGTTGTATTGAAGAAATGTGGAAAATATCCTTTTTTAAGTTCTTTTAGGCCGAATGTTTTAGGGAAGTTTTTTAAAGGTCCTTGAACAAAATTACTACTATCAATAATTCTTAAATTAATTGGTTTTATTTCCATTAACATTATTTTAGATCCGTTATATACGCAGAAAGGTTTAATACCGTTTTCAACGCAATATTTTAAAATAAAGTAAAAATCATAACCTTTAGAAAAATGTGCGATAGCTGTATATCCTTTATGATCTCTAGAAATTAACCATTTGCAAAAATCTTCGTTGGTTTCGAAAGAATTAACATTTCCGTTAAAATCGTGAGATATAACTAAATTAGCGATGTGTTTGTCTGTTTCTTGCATTGCTTCATAATCAAAGAATAAATATTTCTCCGTATAAGAACATTTAGTTGTATGCTTTTTAGATCTACATTTAAGGCATTGAAAACTCTCTTCGCTTTTTCTTGGTATTTTAACACAATTTTTACAATCTTTACATTGATAAATGTGATATTTTATTCTTTTGTTTGTTTTATCAGGAATATCACAATTTTTGCAACTTTCAACAAATTTAATATCATGAATTTTGTATTTTAAAAAACCTTTTTCATTTTTTATCTCTTTTAAACCATTATAAGTCATAAGTAAATCATATTCTACCATATCTTATATTATTTTATCTGCTGTTTTAGCAAATCTGTCTGGTAAAAACAACTTAAATTTACATTCGTCTTTGCCGATCAATGTAATTACATTTTTTTCTTTGTTATCTTTACTTGTAAATTGTTCCCAGTTTGTTACGGTATACTGATGACCTATTTCTATGTCTCTCAGTAATAATGTTTTAAGTTGGCTAGGATTTATTAACCTTTTGTTTGTTTTATCAGGAAAAGTTACTGTGCAACCTTTTCTATCACAATTTTTACAACCTTTTACTTTGTATATTTTATCATCGTCTTTTATTGTTGTCTCACATATTCCGCCTTTTTGCCGTCTCCTTTGCATATAACATCTATGTTTTAATATTTCAACGTCTTTATAACAATTTCGACATTTTTCCCATCCACATCTGTGTTCTTTACTACCCTCTTCTATCATTTTGTTACCTTTTTTAATGATTTGATTACCCTTCTTGTTATTTCCTTCTTCAATTATTTTATTTCCTTCTTTAATCATTTTTTTACCTTCGTCAACCATTTTATCACCTCTTTTGAGTATTTTATTACACTTTAAGCATTTGTAAAATCTTTCACAAACTTCTGAATGATTTGCTAAACATTCTTGATTAAAGCAATATCTATTACATTTTTCACAATATATTCTTTTTGAAGAGTCTTCGATGTGTTTAGACTTGAAACAAATTACGCATATTTTATCCTTCGTTTTGCATTTATGTCCGTCTTTATTTTGATATGGTTTATCACAATTTTCATAATAATAAGACTCACCGTAGAAAGCTGTCATACTACTGATTGTAGTATCAAAATGATTTCCATTTTTATATAAATAAACTTTTACGCCTTTCTCAATCCCCGAATATATTATGGAATTAAAGCATTCTGCTGCAACGACTTTTATTTGAATATTTAATACTTTTTCTATATTTTTAATATCATCTAAAGTAAAATAATTTCTACTATATTCTCCAAGTTGATTACATAGTTCTTGTGCTAAAGTAGTTTGTAAATTTCTTCCCTTTCTAATATATATTATATCATTACGATCATATTCTTTACCAAGTATAATATTTGTATGATAAGTTAATCCAACAATAACAGCTCTTGGACAACATAAATTATCTTTGTTTTTTATTTGTATTATACTTTTCTTTGTTCGTGAGTCTTCTGCTATATTTAATAATCTTTTCGCATTAGTAGCACCTCTAGGCATATTAACAACTTCGGTATGAAATGTGCAACCGTATATATCTAAATCTTGATTTGAAGTTAAGATACTTTGAATATTGTTTAATAAATTATTAATATCTGAGGTTCTTGACATACCTGATGAAATAGGATTCCAAAGATCAGGATGATTAACCACTATATTCATTAAATCTCCTTCTTTGAAATTTGTTTTCTGTTTTAATATTTAAATCATTTCATTTAATCCCTCTCTAACAGCAGTAATTTTTTTCATAATTATGTCTGAAAGATCAGACTCGGATGATTCTTCCTCTCTCAATAATATAACTTTATAGTAAACTTTATGTTTCCTCCATCTTTTGGTGAATTCAGCATTTGTTTCTATTATTTTAATTTTAGATTTTTTTGAAAACTCTGTAAAATAACTATCTTCGAAAGCGAACGGTGGGTCGTTAATTTTTTGTAATAATTCTTCCTTCTTCATTTTAGAGTAACCTTTGATATTCTTTTCTTTAGCAATTTTTCTTAATTCTTTTATCGTTGTATTCTGAGTCGATTCGTTTTTTGACATGGTTTCCTCCAATAATTCCTCTAAACTTTGCGACCCGACTTCTTTAAGAACAGTATTTAAATTCTCTTCGCTCATGAGGGCATTATCTGAAATTTGATTCACTAGATCTGTTTTTTTACTATTTTGCTTTATTTTTATAACTAGTTTTTCAGCAATCGATTTTAACTTTTTAATATTGAGTCTATTTAGTTTATTAAACCAATCGCCTGCATTGATGAGATCTTCTTTTAGAATTAATTTTATAAGATCTAATTTAGTCTTTGAGTTATATTGCGAATAGTTTTTTAACCCCATCTTTTTTGCGATGGCTTTTATTTTTTTTAAACTTAGTTTATTTAGCACAATCTCATTATTTGATTGTGGTGTTAAAAAATATTTATTCATCGAGGACGACTCATGTGTCAAAGATGAACTCTTATCTGAACTCGATGACGAATTGCCTTCACTAATTTGTTCAATTATGTCACCCGCTTTTTTTAAATCACCTTTAGTAAGTTTTATAAGTTCCTCAAGAGTCATTTTAAGAAGCTCATCTTTCGAGAGCTCCATTTATTAGAGAAAAAATTATTCAAAAAAATTTATGAATGAGTTTATCCTTTTAACTCGTTAATATATTTTTCTAATTTTTCATGCCATATTTTTTTGAAATGTCTTTTTTTATATCGTATCGGAACATCCATAAAACATATATCACAAGTAAATTTATCATTTTGTCTTTTTTTACAATCATAACACACGTATCCTATTCCACATTTCTGATTTTTACTTTTAACAAAATTTGAATGAGATTTTATGGTTTTACAAATGGAACATTTTCTTAATAACGACTCATTATTCGGAGATGTTTGATCATGATCAATCTGACAATCTCCGGTCTCTCCACTCTCCATTTATTAGAAAGATATTATTTCATAATAAATGGCTCATAATGCCAAAAGGGAACAGTCAGCTAAACAAAAGATAAATATAATAATTAAAAAAGATTATACGTTAACAGAGTCTAGTATTCCATCTGTTAAGAATTTAAATAATATGCGATCAAGACAATTAGCATTAAATTTTTTAGCACAAAAAGGAGATCCTACTTCTAAAAATATTACCTTAAAAGAGTTTGCTAAACAGAATAAAATTGGTGAAAACACAATTAGGAATCAAATAAAATTTCTCACTGGTGAAACAATAATTAAACA